AGTCCCAGTGGCTCACACCTGTAATGCCAGTACTTTGGGAGGCCGAGGCGGGTGAATCTTGAGGTCATGAGTTCAAGACCAGCTTGACGAGGATGGTGAAACCCCATCTCTTTAAAAAAAAATGGTTTCAGAATAACCCATTTGGATTATAAAATGCTCATTTAGAAAATAGGAATGAACACAAACAAAAACTACCCCTCACCGCACCGTCTAGAGAGTCACAGTGAGATTTTCTTTTTTTAAAATTTTTTATTATTTGTTATTGCATTTTAGGTTTTGGGGTACATGTGAAGAACATGCAAGATTGTTGCATAGATACACACATGGCAGTGTGATGTGCTGCCTTCCTCCCCTTCATCTATATCTGGCATTTCTGCCAATGCTATATCTCCCCAACTCCCCGCCCCCTGGAGATTTTCATATATTATCCTCCCAGGTTTTACTACATGTGTATAGAAAGCAAAACTCCTTTTATTTTATTTAATTAATTATTTTTTGAGACAGAGTCTCGCTCTGTCACCCAGGCTGGAGTGCAGCGGCACAATATTGGTTCACTGCAACCTCTGCTTCCTGGGATCAAGCAATTCTCCTGCCTCAGCCTCCCGAGTAGCTGGTATTAATAGGTGCCTGCCACCACACCCGGCTAATTTTTGCATTTTTATTGGAGGCAGGGTTTCACCATGTTGGCCAGGCTGGTCTTAAACTCCTGACCTCAAATAATCCACCCACCTTGGCCTCCCAAATTGCTGGGATTATAGCCATGAGCCACCGCTTTGGGCCATTCATATATTTTAAATAACACTGGGAACTGTTCTGTTTGTAGTGTTCTTGCTTCACATATGGATTCACCAAGTGTCAGTTTTTAAAAAAAACCGAATATGAGTTTCCAGCCTATACCTGGAGGGACATTCCAGGATGTTAACTGTCAGATCACTGGCTGGTAGACGCTGTGATTTTTGTCATGTTTTCATCCTTCATGACTGGTTGTCTGTTTCCAGAGTGCATCCAGAATTACTGTCCTTTTTTTTTTCTTTTTTGAGGCAGAGTTTCACTCCTGTTGTCCAGGCTGGAGTGCAGTGGCACAATCTTGGCTCATTGCAACCTCCACCTCCCAGGTTCAAGCGATTCTCCTGCCTCAGCCTCCCAAGTAGCTGGGATTACAGGCATATGCCACCACGCCCAGCTAATTTTTTTTGTATTTTTAGTAGAGACGGGGTTTCTCCATGCTGGTCAGGCTGGTCTCGAATTCCCGACCTCAGGTGATCCGCCTGACTCAGCCTCCCAAAGTGCTGGGATTACAAGTATGAGCCACCACGCCTGGCCAAAAAAAATTTTTTAAATTAAAAATAGTAAACAAAGAGAGAGAGATATGTACATACAGATCCAGCTGTCCTTCCAGTCTTTTTCTGAGGGTACATACTGTTTTTCATTATTATTTTTTGAGACAGGGTCTCTCTGTTGCCCAGGCTGGAGGATAGTGGTGTGATTACAGCTCACTGCTGCCTTGGCCTCCTGGGCTCAAGCGATCCTCCAACCTCACTCTCCCAAGTAGGTGGAACCAGGCATACGCCACCATGCCTGGCTAATTTTTGTATTTTTTGTAGACACAGGGTCTCGTCATGTTGCCCAGGTTGTCTTGAATGCCTGGGCTCAAGCGATCTACCCGCCTTGGCCTCCCAAAGTGCTGGGATTACAAACATGGACCACTGCGCCTGGCCACTGAGGGTACCTACTGTTTATGTAATTAAGGGAAGTGTTATCTTAGTTTTTACTTGAAATAATGTGTAGACAGAGGAGATGCTGACTCCTGCATGTCGGGAATCAGCGAAGGAAAGGCCCTTGCCCAGGCCCAAGTCTGCACTGAGGGGTGAGGGGTGAGGGAATGCGGGTGCAGGGAACTTCTTGGCCAGTCCCAGACTCTCTCTGGTCCTCAGGCCATGGATCCAGGACATCGAGGGAGCCAATGCTAAGGACCTTTGCAGCATCTCTCCAGTCATGGGTCGATCTTTTGTGCCAACAGGTGAGGTGCCCCCTCGAAGAGTGGAGAGAGGTGGGGACGAGTCTGCTTGGAACTACCCCCAGGCACAGATGTTGTAAACGCCTTTCCTCACATCCTTGCCCCTAGCCCTGTAATCAGGGCCCCAGGAAGACTCAGACCCAGGAGTCTCCCGAGTTGCCCAATCATGGCACCAGGGGCATAGCCCAGAGGGAGGCCGGGGATACTGGCACCACCCTACCTCATGCCTTTTCTGCCTGCAGCTGAGAAGCCATGTGAGCAAGTCCAGTTCCAGCCCAACACAGTGAACACTTTGCCCTGCCCGCTCCTCTCCAACCTGGCAACCCGACTCTGGCTGTTAAATGGGGCCCCTGTCAATGCCTCAGCCTCCTGCCACGTGCTGCCCACTGGGGACCTACTGCTGGTGGGCAGCCAACAGCTCGGGGAGTTCCAGTGCTGGTCGCTAGAGGAGGGCTTCCAGCAGCTGGTAGCCAGCTACTGCCCAGAGGTGGCGGAGGACAGGGTGGCAGACCAAACAGACGGGGATGCCAGTGTGCCCGTCGTCATCAGCACATCACGTGTGAGTGCACCGGCTGGTGGCCAGGCCAGCCTGGGTGCAGACAAGTCCTACTGGAAGGAGTTCCTGGTGATGTGCACGCTCTTTGTGCTAGCCGTGCTGTTCGCACTTTTATTCCTTCTCTACCGGCACCGGGACAGCATGAAAGTCTTCCTGAAGCAGGGGGAATGTGCCAGCGTGCACCCCAAGACCTGCCCTGTGGTCCTGCCCCCCGAGACCCGCCCACTCAATGGCCTAGGCCCCCCGAGCGCCCCACTTGATCACCGAGGCTACCAGGCCCTGTCAGACAGCCCCCCAGGGGCCCGAGTCTTCTCTGAGTCAGAGAAGAGGCCGCTTAGCATCCAAGACAGCGTCGTGGAAGTGTCCCCGGTGTGTCCCCGGCCCCGGGTTCGCCTCGGCTCGGAGATCCGTGACTCTGTGGTATGAGAGCCGACTTCGAGAGGACGGTGCCCTGGCTTTAGGGCTGTGAGTGCTCGGAGAGGGTCAGCTGGACCTCCGCGCCACCTCCTCATGGAATACAGCAGTCGTGCCCAGCCCTCGGGAGCCTTGGAGCCAGCTGGCCTGCTGCTCTCCAATCAAGTAGTAAGGCTCCAGACACCCAAACAGCCATGGCGCCAGAGGTCCTGGCCAAAGATGGGCACCTGCCTAGGTGGGTGGAACAATGCTTCTTATGTAAACTGAGCCTTTGTTTAAAAAACAATTCCAAATGTGAAACTAGAGAGGAAAGACACAACATGGAATGGCACGCACTGGCTGCTCCAGTTCATGGCTTCCCAGGCCGCTGGGGATGCGCCCAGAGTCGTGGAGACAGAGTTGGAAACCCTCACCAACTGGCCTCTTCACCTTCCGCCTTATCCCACTGCCGCGAGCTGCCCTGTCTCACTGCAGACGCAGGACCAGCTCGGGCTCCATGCGTTCTGCCTTGCCAGCCAGCCGAGGAGCCAGGACCACCTCGGGCTCTGGGAGTGTCCAAAACCAGCTCGGGGTCTGTGCGTCCTGCCCTGTCAGCCAGCCAGCTAAAGATCCAGAACCAGTTTGGGCTCTGTGCATCCTGCCTTGCCAGCCGTCGAGGATCCAGGACCAGCTCAGACCCTGCATGCCCGCGGAGGGTGTCATTGTTGCTGCCATCATCCCACCACCTCAGGGACCAGAGGGCTAGGTTGGCACTGCGGCCCTCACCATGTCTTGGGCTTGGACTCAGCTCCTGGACCTTTCCGGCCTGTATCAGGCTGTGGCCACATGAGGGAGAGGACAGCATGAGCTCAGGAGAGACTCAGTGACAATGTACGCCTTTCCCTCAGAATTCAAGGAAGAGACTGTTGCCTGCCTCCTGCATCGTAGCCTGAGAATCGTGTGCCCTTCCTACCACATCCACCCTTGCTCCATCGTGGAACTCAAACACGAGGAACTAACTGTGCCCTGTCCTCTCCCCAGGCCTCAGTTCACCCCTCATCCCTCACTTGCCTCTACTCTAAGGGATATCAACACTGCCCAGCGCAGGGGTCCTGAATTTATGTGGATTTTATATGTATTTTTAATACAATGCACTTTATGTCATTTTTTAATAAAGTCTGCAGAATTATTGTTTAATCCTGGCTCTTCCTCTTAAAGGACACTTGCTTTTTGAGGCTGGTCTAGTTCTGAGTTCTAAGGGGTTCTGAGCCACCTCTTTGCAGGCTTAGGTGAGCCAGAGTCAGCCATGCGTGGCCAGCGACATCTCCCTGTGGAGTGGCTCTTAGTGGGGAGCTTCACCCACTGATGATAGACAGAGGCAGGGGGTTCACTGTGTTGACCTCAACCCCTTTATTCTACATCCCCAATTTCGTTTAGCAGGGGTAGGGACACAGGAGGGGATGTGATGGGGGCCCTTTCTTATAATTTGTAATTTTTCAAATCATGCAGTAAAATGGACTTTACTGATGGGGTTCTTGACATTTTGGCATGCAGAGACTCATGGAACCACTACCCCAGTCAGGATACAGGGGAGCGCCTGCCTCACACTGCCCCTTCGTCCTCCACCCTCCCACGGGAAAGCTGGCACAGTGCGGCTTGACTTCCCCCTGGCCCCTGCTCTATACGCTGCTCATTCCTGATGGAATTCCTGCTGAGGTATGGCTCCTAGAAGAGAAGTCCAGGCTGGGCTCAGTGGCTTACACCTGTACTCCCAGCACTTTGGGAGGCTGAGGCAGGTGAGTCACGAGGTCAAGAGATCGAGACCATCTTGGCCAACATAGTGGCGTGTGCCTATAGTCCCGTCTACTCGGGAGACTGAGGCAGGAAAATCGCTTGAACCCGGGAGGCAGAGGTTGCAGGGAGCCGAGATCATGCCACTGCACTCCAGCCTGGGAGACAGAGCAAGACTCCGTCTCAAAAAGAAAAGAAGTCCAGTCTTTCCTCACACCAGTGTAACTCGGCTAACACACAGGGTCACGCTTATAAACCTTTATTACTGATTAGTACAAACAAACAGGACAATGGCAGAGGAGAGGCCCTGACAAGGAGGCCGCCCTTGACCGGGTGAGGCTGCACAGTGCCAGCTGCAGGCTGGGCCCACCTGGCCCGCCCTGGCAACACAGGCTTGACCTTGGCCACAGCTCAGCAGCAGAAAGGTTCTTGGACAGGGTACCAGGACACACACCAGGGCTGCTGTCACAGGACAATCTTAAAGGAGCTGAACAACAGAAAAATGGGGTGAGTTTTCTGCTGGAAGAGGAGGGGAGGGACTAAACGCAAACTCGCCCCTTCTCCCTTTAGCCCCTTCTTTGAAACGAGCTGTGTCTGTGAGTCAGTCCCCTCTGGAAGAATTCCCCTAGACTTCCAGAGGAAGCTTCTGGACCCACACATGGGGTCAGAGCTTCTAAACCTGTATTACTAAGTAGTACAAACACAGAGCAATGACAATGGCTGTGGGAAGGGGAGAGGCCTTGACAAGGAGGGCCGCCCCTGCCCAGGGTGAGACTGCCAGCTTAGTCGGCCATGTGTGTGGGGACCAGGGCTTTCTGTCACCCCTGGCACCACCTCCTGTAGCAATGTCCTAGGCCCAGAGGCAGCAGATGGGACCTGCAGGTACCCAGAAGGCAGGGGGACCACTGTCATACCTGGCAAAGTCTGGGGAACGGGAGATGACGTGCTGGAACTCAGAGAGGTTGATGGTTCCATCCCTGTCAATGTCAGACTCCTCCAGGATCTGGGGAAGGGAGAGTTTCAGGCCAGAGCCGCTACCCTTCCCTCCCACTCCCAGGCCCAGCTGCTCACGTTGTCAACGAGCTGCTTCATCTCGGACGCACTGAGCCGTGTGTCCTCGCTCTCTCCTGTGAGGCAGTTTACCAGCTGGCTCAGGTCTTCTCTGTTCAAGGTTCCATCGTCATCAAAGTCTAGAGAGCAGACACAGGAAGCCAAAGGACACGGTCGGGAGGGGCTCTGAGGTTCCACAAACAGTGCCCATTTCCCAAGCAGCACCACCACAAAGCCCACGTGGGAAGGGGTGGTGTCCCACCAGGCTGCCCCTGGTTCTCACCGAAGATTCGGAAGGCATAATGGGACTTGATGTCCGGTGTGGCTGTGTCACTGAACACACTGAGGAGGTCCAGGAAGTCCTCAAAGCTAAGGCTGTCTCTGGTTGGGGATGTGGAGAAGACTCTGCAGATTCGCTCCTTGAAGGGGTTGGCCTAGGAGAACAAACGCCACAGGACATGACCCAGGTCACACACTCATCAAACCCTATCAGAAACTTGAGAGAGCAGGTCATAGGATCAGCACCAGGAAGCTCAGGCTCTTGAAGGGTGAATGATCAGTGCATTGGGGCCAACATGCAGGGCAGTGGGGGCACAGAAGGGCTGAGACAGCTTCCTGGGAGTCAAGTGTTTAACCCAAAGGCAGGTCATGTACAACATAAGTGTGAGCAGAGAGGGAAGAAGAAGGCATCTTAAGCAAAGGGAAAGAGATGGGCTGGTTATTTTAAAACAAATGGTTAACTGAACAGCTATTGTGTTATAGGCCCTGGCCCAGGCCCTTTGCACAGAAATTTCACAGCAGCCCTATGGATTTGCAATCAGCCTCTAGAACAGGGTTCCTCAAACCTTAATATGGTAACTCAACTCCTCTTAAAGGACAAAACTTCTTTGAACTTCCAAGAATATGTCCTGGAATCCCCATTTGAAAATCACCATTCTAGATAATTCTGCCAGGTGATTTTGGTAAAGTCCTTGCCCCCAGAAAATTAGAACTAAGCAGAAAAATGACTAGAATGGGGACCAGTGACCCCATGATCTCAAAGCTAGCAGCAGATGGAGTTAGGGGGGTCTAGCAGGGAGGGGGTGGTGCAGGAGGGGTCGAAGGAGGGGAGCACTGGCACCTTGAGCTCTGGAAGGCTGAGGATCTGTTCGAAGGACACTTGTGCCCGAAGTGACGCCTCCATGCTCTGCTGCTCCTGGGGAAGCAGCTCACAAAACCGCCTGTGGGCTCTGGCAGAGAGAGGGGAGCTGTTGGCCTGCTCAGCGATGGGTGTCCCTGTGTGTTCATTCCCACTCCTTGCCTGCTGTTCATTATCAACTAGGTGAGGAGCTGAAACCACGTACATAGAACTTCCCAGTCATCGGGCAACAGTAAGCAAAAGGACATGTCACGAGGCTGTACAGCCTAGGAGTCTCTACAGTGAGTATTTACTGAGCATCTGCTATGTGCTGGGCACTGATTCTAGAGATCCCCGAGGGATAAAGAGGTTGGGGATGGAGCCAGAAGCTGGCCCTAAAGAACTGGCCAAGTGCTGTGGCTCACACCTGTAACCCCAGCACTTTGAGGTCAGGAGTTTGAGACCAGCCTGAGTAAAATGGTAAAACCCCGTCTCTATTAAAATACAAAAATTTGCCAGGCATGGTGGCAGGTGCCTGTAATCCCAACTACTCAGGAGGCTGAGGCAGGAGAATCACTTGAACCCGGGAGGCAGAGGCTGCAGCCAGCCGAGATCATGCCACAGCACTCCAGCCTGGGCCACAGAGACTCTGTCTTGATAAATAAATAAATTAATTAACAAAAACAGGGAGAAAAGAGCAAAACCAAAAATCTCATTATCACCTCCACTCCAGGGATCTCTTGCCCTCAAAGCCTCCTTTTTAGCAGCCACCCTGAACTGTCCACGTCCTCGGCCTCCATCTCCTTCCCATGAGATCATCTTTGCGCAGGAAGCCCAGGCATCTCCTCACTCAAGTGCCTACCCTGCATATATCTGGCAAAAGGGCTTCCAGGTCAAGTTCAAATCTACTTGCTCAGAGTGTTGTCTTAGGCAGTTAGCAAACCTCTCTGAACCTGTTTCATTGTCCAGTACCTCTCTCCTAAAGATTAAATTAGGTCATGCAGGCAACCATTTAGCACGGTCCCTGGCACATGGTGAGTGCTCAGAAAGCGTTAACGGTTACTGTATTGTTCAGGTCAAGTTGGGAGAAGGAGCCAGGCTCCCCAAGGCTTCCGTGGCTCAGCCACTGCGCAAGGCCGGCCCCTGCCGGACTGGAGCAGGAAGTTCGGCAGTGCTGAAGTTAGTCAGCTCAGGGTCAAAGAGTGCCTAACTTTTCTCGGAGGTTGCGAGGTGACTCCGCGGTGCCACGCCCCGCGGTGCCACGCAGGGCCCCCCGCGAGGGCGGGGAGGGCGTGCCAGGAGGAGGGCGCAGCCCGGACAGGGTCTCCCGGCCTCCAGCCCCAGCTCCTCAGCCGACCTCAGGCCGGCCCCCGCCTCTCCCTTGGGACAGCGGCCCCCGAGGCCGCCTCCAGAGGAGCCCGGGGTCAGAAGCGGGGTTCAAGGCAGCACTTACAGGAGGATCTCCTGCTTCGTCAGGAACGTCAAGTCCTGGAAGGCAAAGCCAGAGAGGGGGTTAGCGGGCCGCCGGGAGGCCGTGACCGCCCCGCCGCCGCTCCCGGACCCCGCCCGGGAACAGGCCGGCACGCGAGCTCCCTAGGGCCCCGCGCCCCGCGCACCTGGTACTCGGCCAGCAGCTCCTTGGACAGGCGACTGCCAGAGCCCCCCATCGCCGCGCCGCGCGCAACGCTCCGCCAACTCGCCTCGAGACGCCGACAACTTTCTCACTTCCGCCTTTGGGCCGCGTCTCAGCCCGGTCCCCGCGGCAACCGCTCCAGGGGCCACCACCCCCGGGCCCGCCCCCTCCTAAACGCGCCCAGGCGCTCCTAGCCGGGTTAGGCAGGCGAGCTTCTGGCTCCGGGCGGTCCCAGGAGAGCTGGAGGCGGGCCCCGGGGCGGAGCCCAGGCCTCACGGCCCGCCTCCGGAGTGGGCGGGGCGAGCCACTCCGCGCGCATGCGTGCTGACTGCGCATGCGTCAAGGGCGTCGCTTCCTGGCAGTGGTTCCTGCAGCTACTGTCTGGAAAGCCGCGCGGTGCATCCGCTTCGGCTGCGGTAGGTGGTGGCGGCGGCAGTCCTGGGTGGAGTCCTGTAGGGGCATCTGAGAAGTCACTGGAGCTGACGTTTCCAGGAAACCTGGAGACTCGCTAAGTGGCCGGGGTCTTCGGCTGCCCCTCTGCCCAGCAAGGACTTTTCTAGACCTTATCAGGCAATCGCGGCACCTGTGGCAGCCCCCAAGCCGCCTCTTCCAGAAGTAACCCTAACCTTGCTTCCTTCTGAGGCTGTTTACTGAGGACCCACTGGATGTCAAGCACTGTGCATAGTTTTCTTCGACTGCAAGGTAGGTATCCATTTTACAAAGGTGGAAATACGTAAGTCCAGAGGGTTTTAATGATGTGTCCGGGCTCCGGCGTTTTGAAGGTGATCGGTCCAGTCCAAGGCACTTTTCTTCGTCTTTTCTTTTTCTTCCTTTTTTTTTTTTTTTTGAGGCAGAGTCTCGCTCTGTCGCCAGGCGCCAGGCTGGAGCGCAGTGGCGGGATCTCGGCTCACTGCAACCTCTGCCTCCTGGGTTCATGCAATTCTCCTGCCTCAGCCTCCCAAGTAAGTAGCTGGGACTACAGGCGCGCCACCATGCCCAGCTAATTTTTGTATTTTAGTAGAGACCGGGTTTCACCATGTTGGCCAGGGTGGTCTTCATCTCTTGACCTCATGATCCGCCTGCCTCGGCCTCCCAAAGTGCTGGGATTACAGGCGTGAGCCACCGCACCCGGCTCCAAGGCACTTTTCAAGGCTCTCCACTGCTGTTCTCATCATTCCAGCTGACATGCCATCCTTTGACCCCATCTCACCCCTAGACTGTGTGCTCTAGGCCATAGAGACCAAAGCTGACCTGTTTGCTCTTGTCCCCTCTTAACCTCTAGGACAATGCTTGGCACATAGTAGGCTCTCACTAAATATTATCAAATGCATAATGAATGAATGAATGAATGTTTTCTACTGCAAAAGGTAAGGATGCCAAACTGCTAGGAGGTGGAAGTGGAGGCTGTGTTGGTCAGGCTGGGATTAACTCTTGATCCTTTCAATCCATTATAGTTGCTCATCTATGTAAAGTCTAAATCTGAGCGTGTCATTCTCAGCTTATAACCATTAAATGGTTAAAAACCCAAATCCTGGCCCTCTGTTACAGACCTTCCTCCTATTGGCTCTCTGTGTTTCAGCCATTATGGGCTGTGAGTCCCTCTTCCATCTTATTCTCAGGGAAGCCTTTCCTGACTCTGTACACTGGCTAGGAATCTACTTTGCACTTTAAGAATACCTAGTGCTTCTCCTTGGCAGCATGTGTCTGTCTAGTAAGACCCATTGTATTAACACATGCATTCCATCATTGTAGAAATATTCAAGGCTGGGCACGGTGGCTCATGCCTGTAATCTTAGCACTTTGGGAAGCCGAGGCAGGTGGATCACTTGAGTCCAGGAGTTTGAGACCACCGTGACCAATGTGGCAAGACTCTGTCTCTACTAAAAATGCAAAAATTACCCAGGCATGGTGGCACACAACTGTAATTCCAGCTACCCTGCAGGCTGAGGCACAAGGATCTCTTGAATCTAGGAGGCAGAGGTTGCAATGAGCTGAGACTGTGCCACTGCACTCCGGCCTGGGCAACAGAGTGACTCTGTCTCAAAAAAAAAAAGAAGATAACTAAGTTGTAGGGCAATCCCAACATGATCATTTTTCTGTTAATAGCAGGCTATTTCAGTCCAAGAAAGAGTTGGTCTTCTGTCAGTAAAAGCTGAGGCAAAAAGCAGGAAGCTGTCATTATGTCTCCTGTACTACACTTCCTTAGGAATAGGGACCTTGCCGGGCGCGGTGGCTCAAGCCTGTAATCCCAGCACTTTGGGAGGCTGAGGCGGGTGGATCACGAGGTCAAGAGATCGAGACCATCCTGGTCAACATGGTGAAACCCCGTCTCTACTAAAAATACAAAAAATTAGCTGGGCATGGTGGTGCATGCCTGTAATCCCAGCTACTCAGGAGGCTGAGGCAGGAGAATTGCCTGAACCCAGGAGGCGGAGGTTGCGGTGAGCCGAGATCGCGCCATTGCACTCCAGCCTGGGTAACCAGAGTGAAACTCCGTCTCAAAAAAAAAAAAAAAAAAAAAAAAGGAATAGGGACCTTGTTTGTCTCTTACAAGCCAAGGCGAATACCTGCACTACATGATAGTAAGTATCTATTTATCTATTTATAGTGAAGATAGGGGAATCAGCTTAGTGCCTGGTGACTAGCTGTGATCTAGATATCTCAGCCACCTCAGTGGGCTCTTAACCCTTCGGGGAACAACCTTCTGGTTTTCATTTTGCTTCCTGATAGGTTTTGTACACTGACCAGCCAGCAAGAACCTTTTGTGCCATTTGGCACATTTCTCATTGTAAATTGTTAAATAGGTGGTCTGAATCATCTGTCGGTCCTTGGTGAATCTGGTTAGCATATTGTCCCTTTTGTACCTGATCAACTCTTGATACAGTGGTAAAACCGAGCAGAGCTGACGGAACCCAAGCTTGGACTGAAGTGACATCCTGTCTGGGCCAGCGGCAGGCCCCTCTCCCTGACACTGCTGGGCTCAGGCTGCAGGAGGCCAGTGGAAGATGAAGGGAGCCACTAATTTCCCCCTTGAAGGGTTAGCCCTGGGCACTGACAGACACATTGGTGCCATCCTCACCCAAATGTTTCCATGCATGACCAGTTGGAATCACTATAGAACATGGAAAAGCTTTTCCCACAAAAGTGGTTATCGTGAAACCCTGAGCACTCTCCTACACTGGAACTCAGGTATGGTTTTCTGGAGGGCAGTTTGATGGTGTATTTCCAAAACCTGAGCCATGGGAGTTTGAGACCACCTGAACAGCATAGTGAGGCCCTGTCTGTACCAAAAACAAAACAAAAACCTGAGCCATGGACCTACTCTGACCCAGTGGTGTACTAGGATTTTATTTTAAAGGAAAATGAAAACATGATGTGTTCAATGATGAGTATATGAGTGTGTAGGATGTTTATTGCCACATTGTGTATAATAGAATGAAACTAGCTATAACCTATATAAAGAAGATTGGTTAAAAAGTCAAGATCTCTGCTGGGCACGTAATCCGAGCACTTTGGGAGGCTGAGGTGGGTGGATCATGAGGTCAAGAGATCGAGACCATCCTGGTCAACATGGTGAAACCCCATCTCTACTAAAAATACAAAACATTAGCTGGGCATGGTGGCGCGTGCCTGTAATCCCAGCTACTGAGGAGGTTGAGGCAGGAGAATTGCCTGAACCCAGGAGGCAGAGGTTGCGGTGAGCCGAGATCGCGCCATTGCACTCCAGCCTGGGTAACAAGAGTGAAACTCTGTCTCAAAAAAAAAAAAAAAAAAAAAAAATCAAGATCTAGCGGGATGCAGTAGTTCACGCCTGTAATCCCAGCACTTTGGGAGGCTGAGGTGGTCGGATTGCCTGAGCTCAGGAGTTCGAGACCAGCCTGGGCAACACGGTGAACGACTGTCTCTACTAAAATACAAAAAATTAGCTGGGTGTGGTAGCACGTGCCTCTAGGCCCCGCTGAACCCGGGAGGCAGAGGCTGCAGTGAGCAGAGATTGCGCCACTGCACTCCAGCCTGGCAAGAGAGCAAGACTCCATCTCAAAAAAAAAAAAAAAAAAGTCAAGATCCATCTATGTGTGAAAACGAAGGAGGCTGGGCGGGTTGGCTCACGCCTCTAATCCCACCTCTTTGGGAGGCAAAGGCAAGCAGATTACTGAGGTGAGGAGTTGGAGACCAGCCTGGCCAACATGGAAAAACCCTGTCTGTACTAAAAATACAAAAAATTAGCCTGTCGTGGTGGCACATGCCTATAATCCCAACTACTCTGGAGGCTGAGGCAGGAGAACTGCTTGAACTTGGGAGATGGAGGTTGCAGTGAGCCAACATCACACCATTATACTCCAAAATGGGCAACAAGAGCCAAACTCCATCTCAAAAAAAAAGTGAAACATAAATTATGATCTTTCCTTAGGCATTGTAACAAAGGATTATGTTTTATCTTTTTTCTCCATTAAAAAAGTTTACTCAGCTGGGCGCAGTGGCTCACCCCTGTAATCCCAGCACTTTGGGAGGCCAAGGTGGTTGGATCATGAGGTCAACAGACCATCCTGGCCAATATGGTGAAATCCCGTCTCTACTAAAAATTAAAAAATTAGCTGGGTGTGGTGGTGCACACCTGTAATCCCAGCTGCCAGGGGGTCTGAGGTGGGAACTTGAACCCAGGAGGCAGAGGTTGAGCGGAAATCACTGCCACTGCACTCCAGCCTGTGCAACAGTGAAATTGCATCTCAAATAAATAAATAAATAATATAAAGTTAAAATCCCTGGACATGGGTTACCATCATGTATTTTTCACCTTTTATGATTATTTCAGGTCAGCTCTATGGCTCTTCCACATGATTCAAACGAAACTTCCTATTTGCTACCTCCAAGCAAGGAGGACTGGGAAAGGCAAGCCATTCCTGATTTTGTTTATGGGCAGAAGGATCTCGTGGCAGAAGGGGTTCAGTGGCCAAAGAATGCACCTGGCACTCTGCATGCTCTGCCTCAGTCTCCCTTCGATGCTGCACTCTGCTCCGCCTGGAGGCAGCGGGTGGAGCTGGGGCTGTTTCGCTACCGCCTGCGGGATCTACAGACCCAAATCCTCCCTGGTGCTGTGGGTTTTGTGGCTCAGCTGAATGTGGAGCGCGGTGTGCAGAGGAGGCGCCCACAGACCATCAGGAGTGTGAGGCAGGCATTTGACCCTGAGCAATTCAACTTCAATAAGATCCGGCCGGGAGAAGTTCTCTTCTGTTTGCGCCGGGAGCCTGATCTCCCAGGGACGCTCCTGCAAGAAGACATCCTCGTGGTGATCAATGTCAGCCCCCTGGAGTGGGGCCACGTGCTGCTGGTGCCTGAGCCTGCCCGGGGCCTCCCCCAGCGCCTGCTGCGGGGTGCACTGAGGATGGGGGTCGAGGCTGTGCTGCTGAGCTTACACCCGGGCTTCCGTGTCGGCTTCAACAGCCTGGGAGGCTTGGCTTCGGTGAACCACCTCCACCTGCATGGCTATTATCTGGCCCACAGACTGCCCGTGGAGCATGCGCCAAGTGCGCCCCTGGATCCTGGAGGCCATTTGCATCTGCTCCAGGGCCTCCCCGCTCCCGGCTTCCTCTTTTACTCTCGGGGGCCAGGGCCTGACTTGGAGGCCTTGATAAGCAGGGTATGTCGGGCCACTGATTATCTCACTAACCATGAGATTGCACATAACTTGTTTGTGACCCGGGGAGCTCCGCCAGGAAAGACGTCACCTTCCTCAGCCCTCACAGGGGTCCGAGTCATTCTGTGGGCCCGTAAGTCCAGCTTTGGGATAAAGGAAGGTGAGGCCTTCAATGTTGCCCTCTGTGAACTAGCTGGGCACCTCCCTGTCAAAACCTCCCAAGACTTCAGTAGCCTGACAGAGGCAGCGGCTGTGGCCCTCATTCAGGACTGTCTGCTGCCCCCAGCCCAGGCAGAAGAGGTCCAGGCTGCACTGGTAGCCCTGATGGCCCAGGAAGAGCAATAATACTTCTGGATATATTTACATTCTTTTTTTCCTTTTCTTTTTTCTTTTTTTTTTTTTTTGAGACGGAGTTTCGCTCTTGTTACCCAGGCTGGAGTGCAATGGCACGATCTCGGCTCACCGCAACCTCCGCCTCCTGGGTTCAGGCAATTTCTCCTGCCTCAGCCTCCTGAGTAGCTGGGATTACAGGCACGCGCCACCATGCCCAGCTAATGTTTTGTATTTTGTAGTAGAGACAGGGTTTCACCATGTTGACCAGGATGGTCTCGATCTCTTGACCTCGTGATCCACCTGCCTCGGCCTCCCAAAGTGCTGGGATTACAGGCTTGAGCCACCGCGCCCGGCCAATGTGTTCATTCTCTACCCGATAAGTCCGTTTCCAGAGCACTGCCCATCATGGTCATTTGAACATTTTCATGGCTGCCTTCTCACCTATCTCAGACTAAGAAGGATAAAGAAAGCTGACAATGGTCTCTTTAAAGGGGAGAAAGCCTGGAATAATTCTACTGAATAAGACTTCATGGATGTATCTGCTACCTCTCCCCATTCTTGGTCATCCCCCACGGGTATTAAAAAAGGAGTGTGTGTGAGAGTTACACATTCCTGACTTTGTGTTTGGACTTTGTCTTCCTTTGATATCAAATGTTAGCAAGGTGAAAGTGCATGTGCCTGCAGTGTTGAGCTGCCATTCTGCTCTCAGCCTCTCTGGTATTCCCCTTTGCTCACCACCAGTTTTATTTCTTCATCCCTTCTTTACATTTAACCCAACTCCATCCAAATGCCCCACTCCTTCACTTTCCCGGCCACCCCGAGATTTCAGCTATCCCCGACACCGAGTTGAATGCTCTTCACTGACATCATCCGATGGAAAAACAGCGTCCTCACAGCTTTCCCGGTGCACTTCCTGTTTTTCCTTTCTTTTTTGCTTTGTAAGGCTGGGGTGCAGTGGTGCAGTCGGCTCGCTGCAGACCTGAACTCTTGGGCTCAAGCCCCATCCCACCTCAGCCCCCTGGCTAGCTGGGTCGTTAGGCATGCTCCATCATATCTGGCTAATTTTTAATTTTTTTGTAGAGACAGGTTCTTGCTATGTTGCTCAGATTGCTGTCAAACTCCTGGCCTCAAGCAGTCCTCCCACCTCAGCCTCCCGGAGTGCTAGGGTGCCACCATGCCTTGCTGCCGTATTTTTGTTTTGTTTTGTTTTTGACACAGGGTCACTGTCACCCAGGCTAGAGTGCAGTGGTATGAACACAGCTAACTGCAGCCTCAGCCTCCTGGGCTCAGACAGTATTTCCATCTCAGCCTCCCTAGTAGCTGGAACCACAGGCATGCACCACCACACCCGGCTATTTTTTTTGTAGAGACAGGGTCTTGCCATGTTGCCCAGGCTGGTCTTGAACTCCTAGCCTCCCACCGCGGCCTCCCAAAGTGCTGAGATTATAGGCGTGAACCACTGCACGTGGCCCAAGTCCTCTTAATACCCCCATTTAAAAAAAGAGAGACTGACAGTTCGTACTTTGTTCGAGGTCAGACAGCTGGAGTCAGGACTGCAGCACAGATACCAGACGCTAAGCTGGGACAACGTGCATTTGTGACTTCCTCTCCAGTCAGTGGCTCCCATAGAGGGTAGTGCTGTCCTCAACAGTTCGCCCTCCCTGAGCCTCAGCTATCCCTCCTGCGGTCGCTCCCAAGCACTTTAGAAGCTCCTGTTGATGTAGACATAAAATCCAGAGCTCAGTCATTCCTCCATCTGCATCTGAGTCAATGTGGGCAATTTTTTTATCTCATTGGTTTGTTCTGCCCTATTACTCTAGAAATTTCCACACTGGCTCCAGAAGAATCAGTCAGTAGACACTCTAGTATGTGTGTGTGTGTGAAATCCCATTTTCCTTTGAGCTCCCTTGACTGTTAGACAGCAGATGTAAAAAAAAGTCTTGGGTTGGCTGGGTGCAGTGGCTCACACCTGTAATCCTAGCACCTTGGGAGGCCAGGGCAGGTGGATCACTTGAGGTCAGGAGTTTGAGACCAGCCTGCCAACATGGTAAAACCCCATCTCTACTGAAAATACAAATATTAGCTGGGCATTGTGGCAGGCGCTTGTAATCCCATCTACTCAGAGGCTGAGGCATGAGAATCGCTTGAACCCAGGTGGCAGGGGTTGCAGTGAGCCAAGATCGTACTACTGCACTCCAGCCTGGGCAATAGTGTAAGACTCAGTCTCAAAGGAAAAAAATAAAAGGCCAAGGCAGGCAGATCATGAGGTCAGGAGATTGAGACCATCCTGGCTAACACAATGAAACCCTGTCTCTACTAAAAATACAAAAAATTAGCCAGGCGTGGTGGCATGTGCCTGTAGTCACAGCTACTTGGGAGGCTGAGGCAGGAGAACCACTTGAACCCAGGAGGCAGAGGTTGCAGTGAGCTCAGATTGCGCCACTGCACTCGGCTTGGGCAACAGAGTGAGACTCTGTCTTAAAAAAAAAAAAAAAAAAAAAAATTCTTGGGTCTAGCTTTCAACAGAGATGATCACCACCACCACTCCTTGCTCAAACATCCTGAAGGAATGAGATCCCTGCTCACAGCGTAAGGGTGAAAGGGGGCTCACAGAGGTGGGTGCTGGCTGCTGGCTGAATGGGCTCTCCCAGCAGGGGTTTTGATTTCTCTGTCTCCCAAAATGTGGGCCCCAACCCTGGCTTAGGCCTTCAGGTAGTTGGCTCCCTATTTCCAGGCTTGTATAAAGCCTTAGTATCAAGTTTTCATGAGAGGTTTTACATCCCAAAGGATGTTACAGAGTCTCCCTGGGATGAAGCAGAATATGCATCCATAACCCATTGTATAAGAAGAGCAGTTTAACCTTCTGTCAGAAAATGCTGACCACCCTCATATCTGGCAAACTGCAGTCATTTTTGCTTAGTGCTTTTTACAAGCTTTTGCATATACAAGCTCCAGTATTGCGCTTAATTTTGCTTGCTTTTGTGCTCACTCGAAGGGAGTTCAGATGACCATTACAGCAAAGTGGATTTTGTGTCCAAAGTGGTGAGCCAAGTATCAGAATTTTCTGAGTTTCTCCCTAGGACTGATGTTTAGAGGAAAGCCTTTCCTGACCCATACATGTTTCTCCATAAAAAAGGGGGAAAATCAAATGGCTTTTCTTCCTGGTGGTATTTCTCAGCCATGCATATGCTTTGTGAAGATTTGTAGTGCAGGTTTTTCCACCAAGTACAGAACATGTAGAGGCCCTTTGTACTCCAGGATGGTAGGAAGTGCTGACCCAGAGCCTCCCTGCCTCTTCACTTAACTCTTCATGCAGGACCTCATGTACCGAGAGGGTTTAGACTTGCTCTCATGGGAAACCTTGACGGATACTTAATGTGGAGTAACAGCTTTGCATTTTAGGAAGAATACTTATGCTGTAATGGGGAGGATGGATAGAGTGAAGAATAGAATCAGGGAATCCAATTAAGAGGTTGCTGAATGGTGGCAATTTAGGCAAGAAATGATAGTCCAGGTCTGCCAGGTGCAGTGGTTCACGCCTGTAATCCCAGCGCTTTGGGAGGCAGAGGTGGGTGGATCACCTGGGGTTGGGAGCTCAAGACCAGCCTGACCAACATGGAGAAACCCTGTCTCTACTAAAAGTACAAAATTAGCCGGTGTGATGGCGCATGCCTATAATCCCAGCTACTCTGGAGGCTGAGGCAGGAGAATTACTTGAACCTGCGAGGCAGAGGCTGTGGTGCGCCGAGACGTGCCATTGCACTCCATCTTGGGCAACAAGAAGGAAACTCCCATCAAAAAAATAAAAATTAAAGAAATGGTAGTCCAGGTCCTAGAACAGTCCCTAGAACACTAAATTGTTGATACAGTGAGGGTCCTGAAAGTCAAGTGACTCCAGAACATTTCCAGGAGGAGGGAGGAACATTTCTTTCTTTTTTTCTTTTTTCTTTTTTTTTTTTTTTTTAAAGAGATGGAGTCTCGCCGTATCCCAGCCTGCGCTCAAACCCCTGGCCTCCAGTGATCATCCTGCCTCAGCTTCCCAAGGTGCTGGGATTACAGATGTAGGCTACCACACCTAGCCAGGAGAGTCTCATATGAGAGTGTCATATGCTGAGGAAAGATCAAGAAGTCTGTGAATCAGACAGCCCATTTCTCAGAAAAAAAAAAAAAAAAAAAGAATTGAGGAAAGGCAAACAGTTATTTGTCCTGAACATATGCTTGACCAAATTCCTTGGCCCGGGGTTTAGGAAAAGATGGGAGTGCAGTGAGAACTGGCTTAGAAGCGGGAGGCTTGCAAGCCCCTTGTTGCACCGGAGGAATCTGGCCTAGAGGCCGGCCAGCCCCAAAGGGCAAACGCTATTGGCCCCCTCTAAGTAGGTACGTCTGCGGGAAGGCCCCGCCCCCAGAACGCTTCTCCAATGAGGGCCGCCCTCGTGTCCATGGCAACGGCGGCGGTGGCACCGGCTTAAGTAGGTGCTGCCCCTGCCGCCGCCAAGGCCGCCTGGATCTCGGAGCTAGGACTGAACCCCTGCGGGGGAGCGGGTTCCCCCTCACGATCGTGGGGACAGCCAGTCCTGTGAAACGAGGAGGCGGTTTCGGACGACCAGAAACGCCCAGGGAGAACTGGACCCGGGAGAAGAGGGGACATGAGCGGTCAGCTGAGTCCAGCCCCAGGCAGCTAGGGGAGGACCCAGCAGCCCCTCCGCTCTCCTCCGAACCACGGGTGGGCAGTCTCCGCCATCACAGCCCAAAGGGTCTAAGCCATCCGTGCCTGGCCCGTGTGTACACGTGCGGAAAAAGAATCCTGGCCAGCCTAGGAGGCCTTTGGTCTTCATCTGTATTTTATTTTATTTATTTGTGGAGACAGAGTCTCCCTCTGTCACCCAGGCTGGAGTGCAGTGGTGTGCTCTGGGCTCGTTGCAACCTCCATCTCCCAGGTTCAAGTGATTCTCCTGCCTCAGCCTCCCGAATAGAGTAGCTGGGACTACAGGCAGCATTACTACCACGCCGGGCTAATTTTTGT